ACTAGCATCTAACTGGATCTAACTTAGGACAGTCATGATATCAACTAATTGGTCCATGGCTGTAATGCATGCCTATCATATGGCTATTGGCTATTCTACACAATATACTATACTGCAACTACAACTACTAATATACTACACAGTAGGTCACAGTAGGTCATATGCTAAAGGTTTTGTAACCATTGTAATATTATTACAAAATGGTTAAAGTCCCCATCAGTTTGCTTGTCTATACATTATGTGCCTGATCAGTCTTGTAAAGTACCTATATCAACACCTTATCAACAAGCTGGTCAATTGAAAAGTTCAACATATTTGAACGGTCAACATATTCAAATTAGAAATGATACCTGTGTGCCTGATACACGTGTTTTATCCCATACCATCACGTCGCTGCTCTCTCACAACTCCATCAGTCATCCTCTGTCTTTCCCTACCTCTGTCAGTACATGTCATCCCCCTCTTTCTCCATATTTCTCCTCCCCTCCGAGCCCCTCTCTCTCTTCCGCCTCTACACCTCATGCTCCTCGAACAATTTCTGTCTCTCCCCCCTTTCTCACCGGGTGTAACTCTACCCTGGTAGTTAAATTTAGCACCGGTGTGACCCAACGTTCACCGCTACACACTTCTCCACACCTCTCACTCTCTCTATCTCTCGCCCTCCGGGTGTATCGCTCAATCTCTCACTATCTGTCTGCCTGTCCGTCCCGCTGACCCTCAAGGACTTCTGTAAGGGGAGTTTGGTATGTGTGAATGGACCACGACATCTGGGCATGTTTGTAAAGCGGAAAGCGAGCACGTTTATTATAAAGTATATAGAGAGAAATCAATCACTGCCAGTGTCAGGTTTTATCAACACTGCAAAATAGATTTAATCTCAAAGAACATATCCACTCATAATCATCATAACGGCTATTTTTGTAGTTCTCACAATGAAGGCACATACCCGGACACACCTGTGAGATAGGTAGGGTGGATTGAAATCAGAGAAAACAACATGAGAATAGATTATGACTCATGAGCTCTGCCTTATGACAGTTACGGATTCTATCTGTACGTTTTCAGTAACAGCTTGACAATGTAATGTGAAGAATTACATGTATTTCACTGTCAAGCTGTTACTGATAACTCGGATGGATAAAATACATAACGGTCATGTTATGAATAATCACTGTTAGCTGTTGCAGGGCCCTCCACTGCACGTCGGGCCTGACAACCCCCTTAACCGTATTCACAATATAACATGTACTCAAGTGGCAGCCTAATGGCACCAGCAGTGACACCAAAATATAAGAAGTAATTGTAGTAATAATAGTAGTAGTAGTAACAAATAGGAATCTAACTATCTACTTTCCCAATCTGCCTGCCTGCCTGTCTCTGCCTGCCTGCCTGCCTGTCCGTCCGTCCGTCCGTCCGTCTGTCTGTCTACCTGTCCGTCCGTCCGTCCGTCTGTCTGTCTGTCTGCCTGTCTCTGTCTGCCTGCCTGCCTAACTGCCTGCCTAACTGCCTGCCTGCCTGTCTGTATGTCTGCAGGTCCATCCATCTGCTGGTCTGGTCGTCCTACAGACGCATGACATCTATAGCAATAGGCCACATGACAGAGAGGTTGGACAATGTTGTGTGACACCACTCTTATGTCATGTAAAGTCATATGTAATACACACGAAGGTCTTCAAAAATAACCTCCAGAGTATTATTAACCGTATACATTCTCCGCATTTCTGTCAACAACTCTCCACATAACTCTCTATTGTGCCTGGCAATGGCATCTTGTTCAATTTGATTGGGAGCCCCCTGCGTGATCTAATTTCTTGATCCTCCCCAGCACAATGACAAGGAGAACAGAAACAAACTCCCGCTCAAAAAAAGTTACACTTCTCAATATAGCTCGGCTCCCCGCGTGACAGTGTAAACATACGGTTTTCACAGCCCACATGGCCCACACTAACACACACAGGTGCACACACGTGCACGCACGCACGCACGCACACGCAGGACATACAGTACATGCATGCACACACCCGTACGCATGCAGACACACGTGTAGACACACACACACACACACACACACACACACACACCACCATGTTGACACACAGACTAACAGCCGATGGCCTTAGCCAAAGGCCCACGGTATACTGTTTCCCTGTTAAATTCAATACGCTACACCAATTTCCAACCTGCGTGTTTCTTACGAATCAAAAAAACATACTGAACGTCCAATGGTTTAAGTCCCCCCAGATGTTTTGGAACACTCTGTTCCCCGGGGTCATCTTAGACTACGTGACGAGCGGAGATTACAAGCATATTCCACATGCATGATCTGGTTTCCCCTTTCCCACAATACACCACACTGCTGTAAACCTAGATTTATCTCCATGGATGAAATCACATTTCTCCCACGTCTATCTGAGAGCATGGAGAGGCACTTACCACCATACAATACCAAGGAGATAGTTGAACTAACAACCATCTATGTCCTCCTAAAAATGCATTATGTTTGTGTGTAATAAACGAAAGGATTGAACGGTGGAGAGGTTAATGAACAGGTGGCCGAGAAAGTGCGAGAGAGAAAAAACAAGACGGCGAGAGAGAGAGAGAGAGAGTTAAGACGGAGACGGAGACTGAAGGTGTGTGGTCCTCAGGCACACAGACACCTGTTGCCATGAGCCTGTTGCCACAGTTACAGACCTGCTAAGAGGTCTCTGTGACCACCGTGACAGTGTTCCCCCCATGCTCCCTATGCACAGACAGTAAAGAGCAGGGACGACCCGATATGTCATGCAAGAGATTGTGCAAGATTAATTTCAGAGTTAGAGATGAAGCCACAGAGATAGATAGCATTACACAGCAGTATACTGAGAACAAATGGAATGAGATAAGAGGAGAATTTACCAACAGAGTTACAGAGGGATAGGAAGTGAGAGGAGAGTGAGAGACAGAGAGATAAAGAGAGAGGGAAAGAGAGGAAGAGAGCGTGGGAGAAAGAGAACTGACCAGGGTCTGTTGGTATCTCAGAGCCTTCCTTTCCGACGCATCTGCGGCCATTGACACACTGTCACTGACCCAAAAATAAACCTGCTGTCTGTCTCAGCATTTCCAGCTCTGCGTCCGGGCCGGAGAGAGCGCACAGGCACACACACACCGGAGACACACACAGAGAGATAGATACTCTCTCACGCTCTCAAACACACATTCTGACACAGTGTAAACGAGACCTTGCAGCAGATCCCCCCCTCCTTCCCTCCACCACTTGGATTGCCCACCCCTGTCCTGGTAAGCAGTGCGTGTGAACGAGCAGACGCCTCATGCCTCACTAACCCATCTCTCTCTCTATCGCTCCCTCTATCAGATCAGATAGGCAGCTCAGACTATAGCAGTGGCTAATGGCGTACCCATCCTAATTTGAATAGAGGTACAGCACGGTAGGCGGGGAAAGAGAGAGAGAGAGAGGGTTCATTTGGGCATGGCCTGCTGTGAGGGATGTTCCTCGTTGGAGTTGGCATTGTTGGGTTTGGAGCGTTCAGGGTCTAGCAAGGTTCAGGGTTTAGGAACTGCTACTGTCTGGTCCAGCAACTATACGGATGAGAGTTGAGAAAACAGATGTTGATATGCGATGCCCGTCAAATAGAAAAATATCCAAGGAGTTCAAGGCACTACTGAACTTCATTAAAGACTTGATTATCTTGGCATTCGAAAATAAATTAAAATGCACAGAAAGGGGACAATTACATACTATGGTAGAGGTAGGGAAAGCACAGAGGTTTTCACATCACAAGATGTTTTCAGAGCCCTTTAAAACAGACCCTGTAGCTCTGATGTTTTGGGTGTTTAAAGTAAGTGTAATCTGAAAATGTCACTTTTAAAAGTTCATATTCTGTTAACTCATACCCAAATAATGTTGTTCACTCATCCTATACTCCTATGCGGCCAAAGCATAAACTGGAGAAAAAAACACTTCAAAAACCCCAGCTCAAACTTGTATCTCAAACAGACGTTTAAAAAAATGCTTGCTATTTCCTCATAGAGTATGATGTCATACTCCTGAGGAGAATGAGCTCACCAATCAGCGTTCTACAGGAGCATGAGCTGGCCAATCAGTGGTTTACTCGCGTGAATATTTTTAATGACCTTCTTACGCCCACACCATTCTGTTGTTGGAGTACGCCCACACCATTCCAACACAGAAAACCTGATTTTTAACATACTTAATAACCTGTTTTTGGAAGGAAAACTATTTCACTCATATTTTAAGTAAATATAAGTCATATTTCATAGAAATCTGGAAACACTGGACAGTTACTTTAACAGTTAACAGATGGACAGCAAGCAGTTCCCATGGATGTTTGTCCGATGGTGTTGGAAAACTGCTGAGTGATTATAAAACACAAAGGAAACCCAAACATGACATTGCAAACCACACACCCTGTATTCCAGTGGAGGCTGCTGAGGGGAGGACAGCTCATAGTAATGGCTGGAATGGAGTCAATGGAATGGTAGCAACCACATGGAAACCATATTTGATACCATTGCATTGACTCCATTCCAGCCATTACCATGAGCTGTCCTCCTCTCAGCAGCCTCCACTGCTGTATACAGTACCATACCACTGTAAGGCAGGACATAATTCCATTGCCTCTCATTCATGAGCTACAGTGACAGTGCACCAAAAGACTGATTCTACCTAAGTTACTTCCCCAATGTCCTCAGTGCCTGTGATTGTTGATAGGAGTGGATAGACCAGTTTCACTTTGGGAAAAGTAATGGAGATGGGAGGTGTTGGTATTCAAGACTGGACACTTTGAGGCACTGTGAATCGACCACACCTTTGATGGAGACAGGTGATAAGGAGGAGACAAAAATAGTTTGAGATAGTTGTGAGGGCATCACAAACCCACACACTGTAGCACTTTATACACTAAAGAGCAGGTGATAAGGGTGAGGAGGAAAAGGTGCAGGAGAGGGCAGGGCTAACCTGGGAGAGTTACAAAGCAGAGAGACACAATGCAACAGAAGAGAGAGATTGACAGATAGAGAGGCTGGGAAAGTGGGAGATGCCAACTGCCACATGCTGGGATTATAATACAATGGAGGGTGATAGACAACTGTTAATATCAAAGATGAGATTCTACTGCTGCTTCTTATGAGGAGAGGACATAATACCATTCCACAATCATTGAGATTCAGCCTTACACAGGGAGAATGCCACGTAAGTTGACACAATAAAATAAGTGAATAAATGTACACTTTTGGTTCAAATAAAGGGTAGAATACATTGTCGGTTAAAATACAAGGTCAAATATCCTAAATGTTCTATGTTTAGTATCATATGCAGGATGTGTATGTGTGTCGGGTTGTGTGTGAGAAATGCATGTCAAAGAGCAATGCCGCCAGACTGGTTGAGTGACACAAACATACAAAGAGGTGAGTTAGGGAAAACACAGAAATGCTGTCAGAATGTGCTTCCTAACAACACTAAGTGGAGGAGTGTACTGTGAACGTGACTCATTATTGTTACCTGAGAACAGTGACAGAAATAGGTGACAAAACACACCCAAAGCCTATATTTAACCTGATATAACCACATCCATGTAGACAGTAGTAGAGTGAGTTTCACGATCGATTATGAAATAGGATGCTGTGGATGAGAGGGGAACAGGTGACTTTCAAAGTGTTGAGTTTATCACTTTTAATTTGATTGATCCTTTATTTAGACAGGTTGTGATTTGTTTAGGTTGTGTTTATTTAGACAGGCAGGTAGCCTAGCGGTTAAGAGCATTGTGCTAGTAACCGAAAAGTTGTTGGTTTTAATCCCTGAGCAGACTAGGTGAAAAATCTGTCGATGTGCCCTTGAGCGAGGCACTTAACCCTAATTGCTCCTGTAAGTCGCTCTGGATAAGAGCTTCTGCTAAATGACTTAAATGTAATAAAGTAAGGTTTGACGGACAAAGCATGGGTGCCAATCTGTTTCTATGGATGATATTCTAGTATTCTAATCCTAAATATGAATATATAAACAACACAACTTGCATAAGTGAACTGGTTCTTAAGGTGACAAAGTATTTGATCACATTTGCCATTTTGAACATTTACCATGGCCCACTCTCTGTCCTCTCAAGTTGATTCAAATTGTAGTTCCATTTGAAAAACAAATGTCCAGAGAACTATCAATGGGCCTCTAATTGTTCCATACAACCAGTTGTTGTTTTATCTCTGCGGTGACAAATGAAAACAGGGGCTGAGTCTGAACTGGCACCCTATTCACTATGTAGTGGGGACCCATAGGGCTCTAGTCAAAAGTTGTGCACTATATAACGAATCGGGTGCCATTTCAGACATAGCCACAGTCTCTTCCTACTATCTAGCCCCTAATAATTACTTCTCACACTGACCTGCCCTGAACTTGCCTACTGAATTTGAATAATGCTATCCTGTCCACCTTCACTGTTGGTAGGAAGAGGATTTGTCTACGATTCCATTGGAGAATACTAGTCAGCCAGTCAGCCAGCCAGTCTGTCTTAGCATTTTTCAAACATCATGCCCAAATCATGTCAAAATAACTTTAAATAGCGGTGTCATCAGATAATGAATAGTGAACAATAAAAGTCAGACTGTGTTTGATAATGAGGCCTATAGATTGTGAAGTTGAATGTGACATATTGTACTGTACCCAGACGGGCCAGGCCTATTGTGCAAACAATGCTGCGGTACCAATGCCCCGGCATGCCCAACCCATCCAGGTTTTTTTTAAAATGTCTTTAGGACACATATCCCAAATGCCAAGTGTGGGTTAACGCTCTAGCCTTGCCAAGTTGATGCCATATTGGACGCACCTTGCTGAGCTATCAATATTGTCTTCTTATGCAATCAGTGTGATTATACTATAGCCATAGTCACACTACTGCACCTTAAGTTGCCTCACCATTCAGACACTATCAGATCTACCCAGATACCATAGTTACGTATCTAGGGCTAATCTAGGTTATGCATTCAACAATTGAGATTACATGATAAGTGATACTAGCAGTCAAAAGTATACGTATACAGCATAACAAAAACATGTACCAGGGTTAAAAATACTCACATTGTCATTGTTATCAATGGGGGGGGAAAGTTCAAGACATGCAACATGGAGTGAAATGGAAATTGTATGTCAAGTATACAAACTGTACAGTCCCTTTCCCTAAAGTAGCCATTGATTAGCCTAGATGAAGCTAATGGACTCCAGATGTCCTTACATGTGTCTTGTGTGACAGTGGAAGTTGTTGGACACTCCATGCTGTGTCATTACAGCCGAGGGCTTTATGAGGCTGCTGACCGATGGTAATCTAATGATGATATAGCCGTGCGTGTGTGTTCCCCCTCCTCAGGATGTCATCCTACTCTGATGCCGATAATCAGTGTCAACCGGGGAACACCATCTGTGGTTAGTGCTCCTCTCCTCCTCTCTCCTCCTCCTTTTTTTCTCTACCTCTCTTGTCTTTCCCCTTCTACAACTTACTGTATGTGCACAAGCTGTTGGGACTCCAAGCCAAAGGCATTGATTGAAAAGACTCCATCAATTTGGACTCTTTAGATTCGATAGACAATATTATGGAAATGCTAAGGAAATGTTTAACTATGTGACAGTTAGCTGTCCATTGATATATTCTGTTGAGGTGAGTTTTGCTAGTCTTCCCATCAGTGTAAAAAGTGGGATTCAACATTCTGTCACAAACTGGTTGTCCAATTACTGAGATTGTATTTGTGCTTACAGTACATATGATCACAGTAAATACATTTGATAAATATGGCAATGTCCCTAGGTGGAGACTGTTGTTCCCTTGCACAGCCTTTACCAAACAGAGCTGTAACAAATATGTTGCAACCAACACGATAAAGCCACTTCAAACGTCTAGAAAACACCTTGGGTACATAGAATAGATAGCAGCAGAACTGTGAAAAATATAGATAATGTGAAATATAGATAGGAGGGGGTGGTTTTATTAGGCTCCAAACACAGGACAAAAAAGACCTAGACTTGCCCAATAAGAAAAACTCATTATGTTTCCGCTGTGTGCCCTAATACAATACTATACAATACAATATTTTTTTATCCATTATACAAAGATAAGAGAAATGTGTTGTGTTTGCTGTCACAGTACTCAGATCCACCATGCACACAAGGGAGCAGCACAGGGTCAGCCGCATTGTCAGCCGCAATGTCAGCCACAGAGCAGCGCAGGTTAGGAGAAATACAGTTCAGACTCCCCAGAAGCTTTTAAGGAACAAGAACAGCTGATTGATGATGCATCATGTTTCACCTGAAAATGAATCAAAACCAGATAACAACTGGCTTTAAGCATTCCAGTGACTGATGGCACACAGTAGCTTGATTTAGCTAAACAATCAAGGTGTGGTGCAAACCTACTGCACCACCTACACATTTTTCAGTATGCAATTTAAGGAGCACTTAAAGGCCCAGTGCAGTCATGTGATTTTCCTGTGTTTTGAATATATTTCCACACTATGAGGTTGGAACAACACTGTGAAATTGTGAAAATGATGATAATGCCCTTTTAGTGTAAGAGCTGTTTGAAAAGATTGCTTGAAATTTCAGCCTGTTTTGGTGGGATGGAGTTTTGGCCTGCCCGGTGACAACACCAGGCGGTAAATTAGTTAATAGACCAATAAGAAAGATAGTTCCAAATCTCTCTGCCAATAATAGCTAGTTTTCAGTTTTCACCTCCCCACTAAGACCACTCCCAGACAGTCCTAGCAAAATTCTTGCTTGAGAAATTTATCTTTGCTAAGAAACTATTTTTGTAAATTTTTTACCATTTTAATTGAAAACAATCACAGTAAGGTACTTCATTGTTAACCAGAAAGGATTTGAAATTGAGATAAAAACGGCTGCATTGGACCTTTAAATGAAAGGAGCGTAAATAAGTAGCTTATGAAATATGATAGGAATGATGAGCACTAAATCCCACCTGACAAACAGTCTGAAATACATTCCTATTGGCATGTACTGTTCTTGCTACTTCAAGTCTATCCTACTCAAAACAAACCCCAGACCACACCTGTTTGCTTTTAAGTGTCACGTAGTACACTGAATGTACAAAACATTAGGAACACCTTCCTACTATTGAGCTACACCCCCTTTTGCCCTCAGAACAGCCTTGTCCAGGCATGGTTCTACAGGGCAGTGTTGGATGCTGCCCAGTTGACAACGCTTCCACGTGTGCAATCTGACGCCTTGGGGTGGAAGTTTGTCACACAGGGAATGGTGACATGAAAAACCAGCAGGTTGATTCTTGACACACAATGGTGGCCTGGCACCTCTACAACCCCTTCAAGGTACTTAAGATTTGTCAACCCTCGATGGCAATGTGACATCAATAAGGGATCTCTCTCTCTCTCTCTCCTCTCCTCTCTCTCTCTCTCTCTCTCTCTCTCTCCTCTCTCTCTTCTCTCTCTCACCACACACACACGATGTCACAGTGTATCAACAGGAAGTGATCATTGTGCCTGTCCTGCTCCTTGCGAGCTTCCTGGTCACTCTGCTAATCGTTCTCCTGATGAGGTACTGCCCTGGAAAGGGAAACCGCAGACGACCCACCATAACCCTAGCCCGACCACACAGCACTAGCAGGTCGAGCAGACACAGCGCCAGACAGAACCTACAGGGCATTGAGGGTAAGTTGGTGTGCACATTGATGTTATGCCAATGAGCTTGACTGATGAGTCAGCACAAGTATCTCCCACTCTGTTCAAGTCTCTCTAGACAAACGGCAATGTATCAATGCTCCAGCTTAACACATCTTTACAAGTTGTGTTGTCAGTTGGGACAGATAAGACGAGTCGGAAATGGGAAGCGCGTCACCAGTAACGTTACTGCCCTAGCTAAACATGAGCACAATACCCGCCAGCATTTTAATCCCCGCCTACCCAAACTCGTGATTTGTTGGGAGTTTTCTGTCTGATGAGGACCCTCCCGTGAAAAAAACATTCTCCCCCCTTTCGAAATGTCATATAGATGCTGTCATCCTCCCCAGACCTTGTGCCGTTGCTGCCTAGCTTCCCACTGGACAAACCACGTCATTTCAAAGTGGAAATGTGGGTAATATTTGGTTGAGACATTGTTCAATGAGATTTCAACCTTTATTCACCCACTCAAAAAGAAAGCAAAAAGTTTGGTGAATTCCCAATGTTTTATCACTATGCTTTCAACCATCTAAAAACACAACCAAATTCCAATGGAAATACAATGTCAGATATTTTAATGTGTTATCACTGTGCTTCATCTAATAGCACAACCAAATGACCTGGATTGCAGTTGAGTTTACATTAAAAGTACATTGTGCAAGTGATCAAGGCTGTTCAAGATTCTGTACAGATTATTATAGCAATTGTGAAGATCTCCACAGATCTGCGATCTTTGCATGCTAACTCAATATTAGGAAGGTGTTCCTAATTTTTGGTATACTCCGTGTAGGCACGTCTCCATCTCAACCAATAATCAAAGTTGAAGAATAGGACTAAATCATATCAAACTTTATTTAAAGTGTATTTAAAGTTGAATTTGATTTAATTTAGTCCTATTGTAGGCCTAAAATAGTATAATTTATTATCTATGACTTATGAAGTATGGTTACATTTGATTTGCTTTGTTAAACCTACCATTTGGAATGACTTTGATAGTAACAGTGAATATATTTAGCTACTAAGAGATCTCTCAATAATCATTCTCACAATAGCACATTGGTAGTAGTCAGTGACAAATATAAAAGCTGGGCTTGGTTAAAACCCTGGATGGGAGACCAAATGAATAGTTGTAAATCAACTCTCCAGCAGGACATGCTGCCCAGTCTATTGTTTTTAAATTCTGATAGTGGATATGACGTTGAAGATCTGACATTGTTTCAAAGGTACAAATGCAACATATTTTAGGTTTGTCTATATTGAAAATGGGTTACAATGATGTCATAATCCTGTGGTTGAAATGTCTCCCTCAAAACAACAGTTCATTACCTTTTTCAAATCCAATGTATTTTCAACTTAGATTCCACATCACAATACTTTGACAAATTACGTTGAAACAATGTTGATTCAACCAGTTTGTGCCCAGTGGGTTACGATGCTCCAAGGTCTGAGATATCCTAAACTAACTCTGTAGTAGAACTACAGTAGTAAGTATTTACAAACTGTATAAAACACATATTTAGTCAATTGCTTCAGCACAATGATTGCCATATGGTTTATTTGAGGCTTTTAATGTAAATGTTTGACAAAACTAGACAAGCTCTTGTCATATATTCATCTACAGGTGTATGGTGTATTTATCTACTTTAAAAAGCCTGCATAGGCAGAGACTGATGTTTGTTTTGTAATGCATGAGTTGCATCTCTAGGTCTCATGTATACAGTGGTGGAAAAAGTACCCAACGATACCTTAATAGAAAATGACTGAAGTAAAAGTGAAAGTCACCCAATAAACAAACTACTTGAGTAAAAGTCTAAAAGTATTTGGTTTTAAATATACTGTACTTAAGTATTGAAAGTAAATGTAATTGCTAAAATATGCTTAAGTATCAAAAGTAAAAGTATAAATCATTTAAAATTCCTCATATTAAGCAAACCAGACGGCACAATTTTATAATTTTTTTAATTTATGGATAGCCAGGGGCACACTCCAACACTCAGACATAATTTACAAACGAAGCATGCGTGTTTAGTGAGTCCGCCAGATCATAGGCAGTAGGGATGACCAGGGATGTTCTCTTGATAAGTGTGTGAGTTGGGCCATTTTCCTGTCCTGCTAAACATTCAAAATGTAATGAGTACTTTTGGGTGTCAGGGAAAATGTATGGAGTAAAAAGTACATGATTTTCTTTAGGAATGTAGTGAAGTAAAAGGAAAAGTTGTAAAAAATATAAATAGTAAAGTACAGATAAAACTACTTAAGTAGTACTTTAAAGTATTTTTACTGAAGTATTTTACGCCACTGCATATATATAATTTGATATATGCGTAATAACCATCTCCTAACCTACAGCTCCTCCTGAGCTGAACCCACTGGAGCATGAGGAGTTACCTATGACCACTCCGACCCAGCGTGACGCCCCAGCCACGTTGTCTGCAGTACTGGAGCCACCCAAAGAGAGACAGCATGGCTCTTTCAACCTGGTCACTCCGCTGCCCCTCTCCTTCTCTGTCAAACCAGATGACTCTGTCACCCTCTACAGGGCAAGGATGGACAACAGAGACGTGATTCTACGGACACTTAAAGGTCAAATGCTTTGATATTCATTGGAGTTATAAAATAGACGCTCCCATCCAGAGACTGACAGTCAGTGTATTGTAAGACCTTGAGGCTTATATGAGTATAAAACCTGAAGTCTTGGGAATGTTATCTTGTCTTTGTGTTACTATGAAATCTTGTGATCATAATTCGATATTCAAATCAACAGACCTAGGCCAACCCATAACAAAACTGACTACATTTCCCATGAGTAGCCTAGTGCTAGATAAAGAAGAAAAAAATACTACTCATTCAGTGTGTTTGAGGGGATCAGTTTGAGGAAGGCGAGACGTAGAATCTCTAATTTTGATAATATGATGAGTAGTTATTTGGATGTAAGGTGATTTGTAGATCAGTGATTCTATGCAGTCTGACTGCAATGTAGTCAATCTCAAAACACACCTTTTCTCCCCCCAGAAACAGCCGATGACAGCGAGCGCCAGTCCTTCCTGGGCTTTGCCTCCTTCCTGTCTGAGCTGGGGCCCCACCCCTTTCTGCCTGGTCTGATGGGCGTGGTGTCCCTTCGTATCCCCCTCATAACCGTGATGGAGGAACTGGAGCACAGGGACCTGCTGGGGTTCCTATGGAGGTGTCGACAGGTATGGTACTCCCATAGAGTCAGATAGAGGACTCATCTTTATATCTGTGCCATTATAGCGTCTGAGACATTATAGCATCTGTGGCATCATGTGCAGCGTCATTGAGGCTACAACCCAAAGGAATCCCCACCCAATTTACTACTTTAAAATGGGCGAAGCATGGTGGAAGCCCTCAATGGCAATGTCCATGCTAAAACGGCTTATATTCGTGATGAGTCCTCTATCTATCTCTATGGGTACTCCTACATTACCAAATAGCTGGGGGTGTTCAGTAGGGAGAACACAGTTTTAAACAGAGTGAAACGGAGAGGTAGCCTACTTGAACTTGTCCAATGAGAGATTATTGTTTCACCAAAACGTTTTGCTATGGACTGAAGTATACTGAACACTACCCTGATATGTTAGGGAATGGTCCTAGCTAGAAATCTGTCTGCACAACATAAATTGTAAATTGTCATCAGGTTTTCCTGAAAATTCAAGTTGTATTTACATTTACATTTGACATTTTAGTAATTTAGCAGACGCTCTTATCCAGAGCGACTTACAGTTAGTGAGTGCATACATTTTCATGTGGATCTCAAGAGGCTGAGCAAACACTCTAACTCTGTTATCATATATATATAGACTACAGTGAATATGGACATGATCATTAGTGATAGTGGGAATGGATACTCACAGTGCTGTTTCTTGGAAGGACACAGGTGTGGAGTCCCCATGCAATATCACAGAGAAGCGCATCTTCACCATGGGAGGACAAGTGGCTTCTGCTCTGGTTGGTCTCTCTCTCTCTCTCTCGTTCTTTTTTCCGTCCATCAAGTGATCCATCCATCTCTGTCATTATGTCTACAATTGAAAATGATAGTTCAAGTTGAGTGCATATGTTATAAAATGTTAATTTGATGATTCCATCATTCTTATTCAGAAGTGTATAGGCACTGTGACAACTGCTGATGTAAAAAGAGCTTAGAAATGCTCACTTGATTTGAACCTATGAGAAAGGGCCAAGAATTTTACCTGTGTTAAGAAAAAACTCCTGGTCATACCTACTTGATTCATCTGTATGAATGGCTTTTATATGCTTGAATGTCCCATAACCATTGTAAAACACAGCATCCTCTCTAATTGTGTATTCAGGAATACCTGCATGGTCAGAGCTGTATCCATGGCAATGTTGGAGCTCGGAGCGTGCTGGTTGGCCGAGACCTGACGGCTAAATTGTGGGGATTTGGTCCAGCATACCGTAGGAAAACACAAGCAGGAACTCCAGGAGAGCTGCAGAACATTGAGATGAGGAAGTGGCAGGCTCCAGAAGTATTGGCAAGGAGACCTGTCAGTCAAAACAGTGACGTGTAAGTCGCCAATCTGATTGGACATATCCATTACACAAATTATCAAAAATACATGTGATTTTTTACGTCGACAATTAACTCTCCAACCACCCTTTTTTCCAGCTGGTCTTTTGGTATCCTGCTCCATGAAATAGTGACGCTAGGTAAATGCTTTTCTAAATAAATAATGTATCATTACTGGTCTACTGAACTGTTATAACCATCACAAATTAAAAACATTAATCTCATTATTATAATGTTTATCATGTATACATGCCCTAATTTATCATTAATTCCTCCACTTTGTAGGTGACCCACCATTCCCTAAAGTTATGGCCAGTGATCTTCTTCAATACCTCCAAAGAGGAAAGACTCAGAAGAGACCAGCTAAATGTTCTATCTCACTGTAAGAGAGCACATTAAGTAATAATACATGAATAATTACCTAAAAACATATGATTATAATAGTGCTATAATAGTTATCTTCGACATTGGTAAAAATGGCCACAATGATTACCACAAAACAAGTTACATTGGTTACAAAAGCTACTGTACCTTTTTCAGGTATTCCATAATCAAGTCCTGTGGCCAGTTCGCACCACACGAGCGCCCTGCATTGGCTGAGGTGATCCAGAAACTCCAATCAGGAGAGAAGAGTGCCAACAATAGGACAGTTCTTCGAGTGCCTGAGCCACTGGGCATTGAGAAGTACCTGCGGGAGGCGGGATATGGAGAGGCCTACAATTACGTTGTTCTCTGATTGGCTCCTGGGCTTGTCGTTTAAATCAAGGTCTACACTACGTTCAGTTTTGCTTTACTCACATTATCATGAAGACTGCTGGAAGAGCGTTTTAAAGGTCAAAACAACAAATCTTGTTTATCTTTAGGTCGCTTACTGTCCTCAATACAATGTGAGAGACTGATGAAACACATACAGAACCGGTCAAAAGTTTTAGAACACCTACTAATTCAAGGGTTTTTCTTTATTTTTTACTATTTTCTACATTGTAGAATAATAGTGAAGAAATCAAAACTATGAAATAACACATATGGAATCATGTAGTAACCAGAAAAGTGTTAAACAAATCAAAATATATTTTTCTATTTGAGATTCTTCAAATAGCCACCCTTTGCCTTGATGACAGCTTTGCACACTCTTGGCATTCTCTCAACCAGCTTCACCTGGAATGCTTTTCCAACCGTCTTGAAGGAGTTCCCACATATGCTGAGTACTTGTTGGCTGCTTTCCCTTCACTTTGCCGTCCGACTCATCCCAAACCATCTCAATTTGGTTGAGGTCGGGGGATTGTGATGGAGCACTCCATCCCTCTCCTTCTTGATAAAATAGCCCTTACACAGCCTGGAGGTGTCTTGGGTCATTGTCCTGTTGAAAAACAAATGATAGTCCCACTAAGCCCAAACCAGATGGGATGGCGTATCGCTGCAGAATGCTGTGGTAGCCATGCTGGTTAAGTGTGCCTTGAATTCTAAATAAATCACAGACAGTGTCACCAGCAAAGCACCCCCACACCATAACACCTCCTCCTCCATGCTTTACGGTGGGAACATGCAGAGATCATCCGTTCACCCACACCGCGTCTCACAAAGACACGGCGGTTGGAACAAAAAATCTCCAATTTGGATTTCAGACCAAAGGACACATTTCCACCGGTCTAATGTCCATTGCTCGTGTTTCTTGGCCCAAGCAAGTCTCTTCTTCTTATTGGTGTCCTTTAGTAGTGGTTTCTTTGCAGCAATTCGACCATGAAGGCCGGATTCACACAGTCTCCTCTGAACAGTTGATGTTGAGATGGGTCTGTTACTTGAACTCCGTGAAGCATTTATTTGGGCTGCAATTTCTGAGGCTGGTAACTCTAATGAACTTATCCTCTGCAGCAGAGGTAACTCTGGGTCTTCTATTCCTGTGGTGGTCCTCATGAGAGCCAGTTTCATCATAGCGCTTGATGGTTTTTGCGACTGCACTTGAAGACATTTTCAAAGTTCTTGAAATGTTCCGTATTGACTGACCTTCATGTATTAAAGTAATGATGGACTGTTGTTTCTCTTTGCTTATTTGAGCTGTTCATGCCATAATATGGACTTGGTCTTTTACCAAATAGGGCTATCTTCTGTATATCCCACCTACCTTGTCACAACCCAACTGACTGGCTCAAACGCATTAAGAAGGAAAGAAATTCCACAAATTAACTTTTAAGCTGGTTGAGAGAATGCCATGAGTGTTCAAAGCTGTCATCAAGGCAAAGGATGGTTATTTGAAGAATTTCAAATATTTAATAGGTGTTCTAAAACTTTTGACCGGTAGTGTATATACTTATATTGTGTATTTAAAGAGTAATATATGTGTATTTCTATATTTGTCCACTGTCCCACTGAATATCTATGTGGCTCCAAAGGACAACTAAATGAAGATTCCCTGCTTGCTGCAGGTTCTAATGCCAGTGTCTTCAAAGGCCCTACCTGGGTCTCTATCCCACACTAGCTCTCTAATTCTACATGTAAACTGTGGTCACTCGCACTTTAACCCTTTACACAACCACAATTTATCAAATAGAAATGGCTAAGTGTCTCATCATAATAAAACCTAGCCCAGCAGGGAAGGTAAAACTATATTTTGTAAAAAAAAATTCCATTAGTCCACTTTTAATACAGTCCCAAAATGTTTTGCATGTCAGCAGTTTCCAAGATGCAGCATTGGACTTTTAAGAAGCAAAGTGTCACTGGCCACATCATCATGATGATGCAAAATGCATTATAGATGTATATTATACATAATTTGATATTTCCCTTTAAGGCATCTGTTGTTTACCAAAGCAAAGTGATCCTTTCTTTCTTGTCTTATTTGAGCTGGGATCCCTGCCTAACATATATGCCTTCACAAACTCTGAAATCTTAACCAGTCAAAGGACTTTGAAGTAAAGAGCACAACTAGCTATTACACACAAGTTCAGTCTACACAACACTCATCAAATCAGTTGCAAAATAAAAGCACTACCACTCCTGCATGTTGTCCTAGTAGTTTGTTTATTTTTTTGCATGATATTGACCTCGCCTTCTCCAAGCTTAAAACGTAAACACACAATTAGCAGAGCACCTAATCATAAGGAAAGCTATGAGGAAGACCACAATCCAGGGTCATGTTCATTAAGGCATGCAGAGGGAAAATGAGTGTTTCTTATTGGACAAGTGCAGGTAGTCCCTTCCTGTTTCAGTCAGTTTTCGTCCGTTTGATGCCTAATGAACACGACCGTGGTGACATTTTCTGTCCACTACTGTAAATAGCTCTTGCTGTGTGTAAAACTGCAAAGATCTTACAAAAAATACTAACATTTCAAATAGACAGGAGGGTACAGTGAGGGAAAAAAGTATTTGATCCCCTGCTGATTTTGTATGTTTGCCCACTGACAAAGAAATGATCAGTCTATAATGTTAATGGTAGGTTTATTTGAACAGTGAGAGACAGAATAACAACAACAAAAATCCAGAAAAACGCATGTCAAAAATGTTATAAATTGATTTTCATTTTAATGAGGGAAATAAGTATTTGACCCCTCTGCAAAACATGACTTAGTACTTGGTGGCAAAACCCTTGTTGGCAATCACAGAGGTCAGACGTTTCTTGTAATTGGCCACCAGGTTTGCACACATCTCAGGAGGGATTTTGTCCCACTCCTCTTTGCAGATCTTCTCCAAGTCATTAAGGTTTCGAGGCTGATGTTTGGCAACTCGAACCTTCAGCTCCCTCCACAGATTTTCTATGGGATTAAGGTCTGGAGACTGGCTAGGCCACTCCAGGACCTTAATGTGCTTCTTCTTGAGCCACTCCTTTGTTGCCTTGGCCATGTGTTTTGGGTCATTGTCATGCTGGAATACCCATCCACGACCCACTTTCAATGCCTTGGCTGAGGGAAGGAGGTTCTCACCCAAGATTTGACGGTACATTGCCCCGTCCATCGTCCCTTTGATGCGGTGAAGTTGTCCTGTCCCCTTAGCAGAAAAACACCCCAAAAGCATAATGTTTCCACCTCCATGTTTGACGGTGGGGATGGTGTTCTTGGGGTCATAGGCAGCATTCCTCCTCCTCCAAACACGGCGAGTTGAGTTGATGCCAAAGAGCTCGATTTTGGTCTCATCTGACCACAACACTTTCACCCAGTTCTCCTCTGAATCATTCAGATGTTCATTGGCAAACTTCAGACGGGCCTGTATATGTGCTTTCTTGAGCAGGGGGACCTTGCGGGCGCTGCAGGATTTCAGTCCTTCACGGCGTAGTGTGTTACCAATTGTTTTCTTGGTGACTATGGTCCCAGTTGCCTTGAGATCATTGACAAGATCCTCCCGTGTAGTTCTGGGCTGATTCCTCACCGTTGTCATGATCATTGCAACTCCACGAGGTGAGATCTTGCATGGAGCCCCAGGCCGAGGGAGATTGACAGTTATTTTGTGTTTCTTCCATTTGCGAATAATCGCACCAACTGTTGTCACCTTCTCATCAAGCTGCTTGGCGATGGTCTTGTAGCCCATTCCAGCCATGTGTAGGTCTACAATCTTGTCCCTGACATCCTTGGAGAGCTCTTTGGTCTTGGCCATGGTGGAGAGTTTGGAATCTGATTGATTGATTGCTTCTGTGGACAGGTGTCTTTTATACAGGTAACAAACTGAGATTAGGAGCACTCCCTTTAAGAGTGTGCTCCTAATCTCAGCTCGTTACCTGTATAAAAGACACCTGGGAGCCAGAAATCTTTCTGATTGAGAGGGGGTCAAATACTTATTTCCCTCATTAAAATGCAAATCAATTTATAACATTTTTGACATGCGTTTTTCTGGATTTTTTTGTTGTTATTCTGTCTCTCACTGTTCAAATAAACCTACCATTAAAAGTATAGACTGATCATGTCTTCGTCAGTGGGCAAACGTACAAAATCAGCAGGGGATCAAATACTTTTTTCCCTCACTGTATATAATCTGAAACACGTTTGGAAAACTGCAGTAGCCTATGGGACGTTATCACTTGGATCAGGTGTACCTGTACCTCAGATCCTCATAGATTATTGCTGCTACCTCACGTACATTGTAAAAAGGAAGGTTTATGATATAAGTCCTGTGCACCAATTGTATTTTTTTTGTGCAAATTTCAGCAGACAGAAAATGACACCCTCTATTTGTCAAATTTCCTTAGGCCAATATATTTGCTACTCCTCAGTAATGGTTGGCAAAGGCAATGGTCCATTGCTTTACATGACCTTACCATACTATTGCTCGCAAAAATAAGGAATGATATGAAACACGTTATTAATTGTTTAGGGACGACTCCGTTCTAGTTCTATTTTCGATCATCGAAACTACTTAAAAAGGCCACAATTTCCACAATTTCCACAGAGAGATAACGCAATGATTCTCTACAGCGTAAACAAAGGCAGTCCAGCCAACAAAGGTATATTTAAATATATAGGCAAATATTACACACATATATAGGGTTTGCTCACTCACTCACTCACATAATGTAACATAATACTCTACATTGAAGGTCCACGTCTTGTGGGTAGAAGCCTCATTTTTTCCACTTTCATTCTGTTTGTTTTGACAAAATACACTACATGACCAAAAGTATGTGGACACCTGCTTGTCGAACATCTCATTCCAAAATCATGGGCATTAATATGGAGTTGGTCCCCCCTTTGCTGCTATAACAGCCTCCACTCTTCTGGGAAGGCTTTCCACTAGATGTTGGAACATTGCTGCGGGGACTTGCTTCCATTCAGCCACAAGAGCATTAGCGAGGTTGGGCACTGATGTTGGGCAATTAGGCCTGGATCGCAGTCTGTGTTCCAATTCATCCCAAAGGTGTTCGATGGGGTTGAGGTCAGGGCACTGTGCAGGCCAGTCAAGTTCTTCTAAAATTCATCCCACACCGATCTTCACAAACCATTTCTGTATGGACCTTGCTTTGTGCACGGATCATTGTCATGCTGAAATGGGGCAGCTCTAGCAGGGCAGAAATTTGACAAACTGACTTGTTGGAAAGGTGGCATCCTATGACGGTGCCACGTTGAAAGTCACTGAGCTCTTCAGTAAGGCCATTCTAATGCCAATGTTTGTCTATGGAGATTGCATGGTTGTGTGCTCGATTTTATACACCTGTCAGCAACGGGTGTGGCTGAAATAGCCAAATCCATTCAATTGAAGCGGTGTCCACATACTTTTGTATATATAGTGTATAATACAATCAACAGGGACCCCACTTAACACGGTTAAAAAAGTCTTTAAACGGCCATATTGTCACCTCTTCTTCTCTTTCTCCATCCCTCCTTTCCTCCTTTCATCCTTCCTCTCAGTCTCTCAGGTTGTTGATGTGGGCACAGATCTTGAGGGCGGGACCGAGCTTGATGTTCATGGTGGACATGAGATGCTCCTCTCTGAGTAGCAGCAGGGCCTGTCCGTCAATCTCCTGGGACAGGAAATGGGCAGCCAGCTCCTCACAGCCTGGGAGAAGAGAAAAGGAGGAGGAGGAGAGACGGAGAGAGAGGTTCGGAGTAAGAGAGGGCGAGAGAGAGAGAGAGCGAGACGGGAGACGGTAAGCAAGACAATAACATTAATAGCATTACAATGGTGAAAATATAATAGCAATGGCATGCTCTCTCTTTATCATAGAATAATACAGGGATTTAAAAAACAAAAAAACAAGTAAGATAACTGTTTTAAAGATTTCAAAAGTCACAACAACACAGAGTAGCATTTGGGTGTTGTTGCATGACAAGGCATGTCCTTCTTTACTGTATCAACCAATGATGTCTACAGTATGTAGCTCAGCTCTGTGGTACCAACCTTGCAGAGATGATATGAACTGAGACACTTCCTCCACACTCCACTGGGCGGGGCTGCCGGGCAGGAAGTGGGGTGCCGCCGAGCCCTCCAATCGGAGTGTGGGGGGAGGCTGGTGGCAGGAAGAGGAGGAGGCCGGGGAGAGGGACATGGGGTCGTCCTCTTCCTCCTCGCAGCTGGAGACGTCGTCCGAACGGCTGGACTCGGAGCGGCACTGTAGACAATGAACCAGGACTGTATGAGAGGTGAGTTTGCAACAGGGTAGTCACTGGATAGCCATGTCTCTTCAGCAATGTTCCCCCTAAGCTGCACCTCCCCCGGGACTGCCTCGCAGAAATATCAACCCACAGAGAGAAGCACGAGATTGAACTTTCTAGAGCAGTGGTCACCAACCGGTCGATCGCTACCGCTAGCCAATCGGATGGCTCAGATGACCGTGTTTGCAGTAACGTAGCAGGCATCAACGAAAGCTACAGCAAAGTTGATACTGTGAGATTTCAAAACGTTTAAACCAAGACTAGAGAGAAACTGTCAACGAATACAGCAAAGAGATGCTGTTTTTATGAGTGAGTTCATGTTTAAGTTCTTACTCAGCATTGTCAAGACTTTGTATACAATACTTTTATTAGCCATCAAATGTGCGTTCTTCCTATTTCCACTCAGCGCTACAACAAGCACTGCAGCAGTAATGAATGAGTAGGAAAGTGTATCTATAGGCTTGTTGTTGTTATTATTAGCGGCTTGGGTCTTTTTTAATTAATTGGAGGAATATTTAACTTAACAGCATGAATTTGTGCATGAAGCAGAAATAATGCGATGCGACTCGAGTTTCGCCATCAGCTGGAAGACGGTGTCCCTTTTTGGTCAGTGTCAGTGGAGGAAAGGGAGAGCGGAGGGATGTTGAGAGGCGGACCCTCAGTCTGCTGTTCTCTCCCTCCGCTGAGACTGATCATCAGATGCAGGCACCATCAGTCCAGTAAAATAAAAATAAAAAGCAAATTATTTAAATGTATGCTCACTCAGCTGTGCCTCACAATTAATACAACATCTGATCTATTACCGGTGTGATCATATAGCCTACCTCAAATGGCCTGAACAACAACGCATTGGCAGGGCAATTCAAGCAAAGCCAATATGCGGTGATAATGTATTGGGCTTATAGCTTACTGCACAAACCTCATTGCTACAGTACTGTTTTTAATTGGCTAATGTTGCATAGGCTTACGTTTTTTAAGTAATGTAAAAAAAAATCTGAGCGGTAGATCTCTGCTTACATTTTGACTCAGAAAGTGATCTTGACTTAGAAAAGGTTGGTGACCACTGTTCTAGAGTTTTCCCTGTTAACACTACCAACGCTTCCCTTTACTGTGGCAATTGTGATCGATTCAACGCAATATTAGCCACTTTCAATGCAACATACTGAAACAAAACAAACTATGCAAGATATTTTGTTGTAGGCAGAACGCATCTGAGTAGGATTCGATTGCATTGACACACACTACTCAGCCCATACTATACACAGACCGGTGCGGCATAAACAATCAGAGCTGCTGTAGGCCTATATGCAAATAGACCATTGCCATATATGGATCTGTGCCATTTACATTGAACTGGACTGTGTTTACAGTATGAGCGGTCATGAGTAGATGTGCTTGTTTTGAGATCAAAGCAAGAGTTGCCACGTAGCCACGTGTGCACATTTTGTTCATATCCTTTGCTAGTTAGTGAGTTATTAGCCCAGTTATAGATCATTTGTAGTCAGCAATAGGGGAGTGATTGCTTCCTACAAGAGCACATTTTACATTTACATTTTAGTCATTTAGCAGACACTCTTATCCAGAGCGACTTACAGTTAGTTAGTGCATACATTTTTCATACTGGCCCCCCATGGGAAACGAACCCACAACCCTGGCGTTGCAAGCGCCATGCTCTACCAACTGAACTACAGGATGTGTACATTTCTAGGCATCTTTGAAAAGCGAGTCAGGTAAAGAGCTTTTGGGCAGTGTTGTATTTTGAGACAGGCTTGAATAAGCTAAGTAGCCAATAGGCAGAGGGTAGCATAATTCGTCTGATTCTCTGTAATAATGGTATGATAATAATAATGCATTTTATTTTGTAAAGTGGTTTCTTGCATCAAACAACACAACAGCATTTTCAGTCACCTCCTTGTCTCAAGGACAAGTGGATAAACAGGTTAATGTCAAGTCATGCATGTTTTTATGAAAAGTCTCATGGATTGTAAGCCTACATTGAACACTATAGGCTGAATGATAGAACAGCTATTTCCATGTTACAATGTTATGGGATGCATTTTCTCCATTGTTTTTGATAGTAGGCCACTCTGGTAGGCCTACAATATGATCAAATAGCCACAGTAGCCTACATGGCCTCTATTAAAACTGTAACTTAAAGTGGTTATAGCCTCAGTTTTCACAGTAAACGCGTGCAGGAATATGCAAAGAAAATCACTACGTTCAAGTTTGCGCTCAGCAGACCTAAAAATTACTCAGTGCCGGAAAAGATTAGAGGGTACATTGCTCTTCAGTCATCCATGCCAGCTCAAAAACAAGTGTACAACTATCAATGATGAACTGACCATTACCTTGACTGGTAAGGGTCTCCCGGCTATTTTGGCACTGGCGATCTCAGAGCTGGTCCTGTGGGGAACCCTCCTCCTCAGGACTCCGTCCTCGTCAGAGTGGGAGAGGTGAACCCCCTGTCGCAGGCGGAAGTGCTGGCTGCAGCTCACGTTATACCTGGAGCAACATGGAGACATAGTAGACATACACTGAGTGTACAAATCATTAAGAACACCTGCTCTTTCCACAGACTGACCAGGTGAATCCAGGTGAAGGCTATGATCCCTTATTGAGGTCACTTGTTAAATCTACTTCAATCAGTGTAGATGAAGGGGAGGAGACAAGTAAAAAAAAAAAAAAAAAAGCCTTGAGACAACTGAGACACGAATTGTGTATGTGTGCCATTCATAGGGTGAATGGGCAAGACAAAAGATTCAAGTGCCTTTGAACGGGGTATGGTAGTAGGTGCTAGGCGCACCGGTTTGAGTGTCAAGAACTGCAACGCTGCTGGGTTTCTCACGCTCAACACTTTCCTGTGTGTATCAAGAATGGTCCACCACCCAAAGGACATCCAGCCAACTTGACACAACTGTGGGAAGCATTGGAGTCAACACGGGCCAGCATCCCTGTGGAACACTTTCGACACCTTGTAGAGTCCATGCCCCGGCGAATTGAGGCTGTTCTGAGGGCAAAAGGGGGTGCAACTCAATATTAGGAATGTGTTCCTAATGTTTTGTACACTCAGTGTATACTGACATATATACTGAACAAAAATATAAATGCAACATGCAACAATTTTAGTGAGTTACACTTCATATAAGGAAATCAATCAATTGGAATACTTTAATTAGGCCCTAATCTATGGATTTCACATGAATGGGCAGGGGCGCAGCCATGGGTGGGGTGGGCCTGAAAGGGCATAGGCCCACCCACTTGGGAGCCAGGCTCAGCCAATCAGAATGAGTTTTTCCCCACAAAAGGGCATTTTTACAGACAGAAATACTCCTCCGTTTCATCAGCTGTCCGGGAGACTGGTCTAAGATGATCCCGCAAGTGTAGAAGCCGGATGTGGAGGTCCTGGGCTGGCGTCGTTACACGTGGTCTGCGGTTGTGAGGCCGGTTGGACGTACTGCCAAATTCTCTAAAACGACGTTGGAGGCGGCTTATGGTAAAGAAATTAACATTAAAGTATCTGGCAACAGCTCTGGTGGACATTCCTACAGTCAGCATGCCAATTGCGCCGCTCCCTTAAAATGTTGACATCTGTGGCATTGTGGTGTGTGACAAAACTCCACATTTAAGAGTGGCCATTTATTGTTCCCAGCACAAGGTGCACCTGTGTAATTATCATGCTGTTTAATCTGCTTCTTGATATGCCACACGTGTCAGGTGGATGGATTATCTTGGCAAAGGAAAAATGCTCACTAACAGGGATGTAAACAAATGTGTGCACAAAATTTGAGAGAAATAAGCTTTTTGTGCGTATGGAACATTTCTGGGATCTTTTATTTCAGCTCATGAAATATGGGACCAACACTTTACATGTTGCGTTGATATTTTTGTTCAGTATAGTAGACATACAGTATACTGTAGTGACTTTGTACTATTATACGACTATACCTCTTGGAACAGGTCAAGGAGCAGAAGCGCTTGGTCCCTCTAAACTGTCTGGCTGGGGCAAAGCTTTTGCAGTACTCACACTTCAGGACTGGGAAGAGAGAACAGAAAAAGGGGGGTTTAAAGAACTATATGAATTACAGTTTGTAGTCAAACCAGTGGCTTTGATGGAAACGTGACTTAGACTATGGTCTGAGCTTAACCTGTAGCTGTATTCACAGTCTCAGGCTGACTGGCATCTGGATTGTCCATGGCCAAATCTTCTCCAGCTGGCTCTTTCACTGGCCCACTCACCTGTCAATCAAAATACAGGAACAAAATGTGTTGTGTACAACATTACTGATTAAAGGGAATTATTGATAATATTGTTTTGATCTAAAGTACATGTCATTATTTACATCAGATGTTATACAGTGCATTCAGAAAGTATTCAGACTTCTTGAATTTTTCCACATTTTGTTACGTTACAGTCTTTTTTTTCTCAGCAATCTACACACAATACCCCATTATTTAAAAAAAAATACTGAAATATCACATTTACATAATTATTCAGACCCTTTACTCAGTACTTTGTTGAAGCACCTTTGGCAGCGATTATAGCCTTAAGTCTTCTTGGGTATGACGCTATAAGCTTGGCACACCTGTATTTGGGGAGTTTCTCCCATTCTTCTCTGCAGATACTCTCAAGCTCTGTCAAATTGGATGGGGAGCGTCGCTGCACAGCTATTTTCAGGTCTCTCAATGATCAATGGAAACAGGATGCACCTGAGCTCAGTTTCGAGTCTCATAGCAAAGGGTCTGAATGTTTATGTAAATAAGATATCTGTTTTTAATTATTTATACATTTGCAAAAAAAAAATCTAAAAACCTGTTTTCGCTTTGTCGTTATGGGGTATTGTGTGTAGATTGATGAGGACATTTTTTTATTTCATCCATTTTAGAATAAGGCTGTAACGTAACAAAATGTGGAAAAAGTCAAGGGGTCTGAATACTTTCCGAATGCACTGTATATCCCCAAAGGGTATGAATGGACGTTGTATTGTATATGAGAACTACAACTACTCTAAAAATGACAAAGCCTAAGGTGAATACTGTACATACAGGGAAGGGTTCAGCTCCCTCCTGGATGACGAAGCCCTCTATGAGGTGGGTGAGGACGTGGGGTTTGACCACAGCCTGTGGAGGGGGGGCTCTCTCCCCCTGGCCACCCCCCATACGGGGCACCGAGAGGGCAGGGGAAGGAGAGGGAGAGGGGGAGGGAGAAGGTGGACAAGGGCCTTGAGAAAAGAAGGGTGAGGGCAGAGAAATGATTTTATCATATATTTTGGAACAATTTGAGCAAGTCTGCCTGGCCACAGTGTCTAAATCTATGCAAACGTGAGGTTTTTGGAATCATGTATAGGTATTGATCAAAGGGGATTTGACATGTTGGTGGCTGGGCTATGGTGGAAAATTGTCTCCCTGCACTCTTATCCTTCCAGTGGTCGTAAAAGAGAGGAATGAGAAAGGCTAAGTATTTAAGACAAGTGGGCACATTCGTAGCTGACTCCTTACCTGCTTCCATGGCGGAGGAGGAGAGAACAGGGGAGTGTTCACTTATTGGAACAAGGTGGGGAGGAGGGGGACCATCTTCCTCATTGGCTGCGTCTGACTCGGATTTCCTCTTCATCGCCTTACCCTGAGAGGAATGTCATTATTTCACAAATGGACTCAACAACTACTACGTAGTTTAGAAAAATCTGTAATTTGTAGTGTCATCAGTGCTATCAGTGCTACCTCACCTGGGGAGGCTGAGGACACACAGACTCTCCATTGGCAGCCACTACAGTGGATGCATTGCTTGCCTCAACCAACGGCAGGGGTAGAGTGATGGAGGAACGGGAGAGGGTGGGAGGAGAGATGGCGGCCTGGGACTGAGAGGAGATGCTGGTGGCCAAGGTGCAATTTTGATTTTGATCCAGCCCAGGGCTCTGATTGGCTTGCGCTTGCACGTGAGAAATGTGGGCCAATGAGAGGGCTTCCTGGGCTGATTGAAGGCTCTTTAGACCTGCCCCTCGGCCTATACCCCCTCCCTCTCTGGATGCGATGGAGGACACCATGGTGAGGAGGCTGGCGCTGCTGGAGCTATTTAGAAGGGTAGCGCCGTCCTGGGAACAGGCGTTCCGGGCCTGGACCAAGGCCAAAGCCTGGGGGTTTCCTATGGAGCTCGGCCTGGCCCCTACTATCTGGACTGGGATGTGCGGCGGAGGCTGGGCGGCACTAGTCTGCTTGTTGGCAGGGGGAGCGGGGAGGATGGGAGGCGGGTTGCGGGAGGGCAGTTGCAGGGGCAAACGGAGACCCTGTTGAGTTTTCGGCTGGATTGGAATGGGACCGTTCCCATTGCCTCCTTTGTCATTAATAGTGCTTTTCTGCAGAGGCTGAACCACCAGCGTTTGAGTACTAACATTGGGCTTGATGGTGGCAGCACCAACTTGGTAACTGTGGGACTGGGTGGGTGCACTGGAGGTGGGCACCAGAATGTGCGTTGCCGTGGAAGCGGAGTTTACCGTGGTGATAGCCCCGCCCCGGCCAAAGTTGGGTCCGGAAAGGAGGAGCTGTGAGAGTGGGACAGAGGTGGAGGGTGAGGAGGGGGTGTTGGAGTGGTGGTTGCCCGTCTTGAGGTTGAGAGAGGACAGGTTGGCGTTGGAGCTCTGGATGTAGGTGGGGATCTTGATGTGGGACTGTTGCTGTTGGGTTGGTTTAGTGGGAGACTGCGGAGTGGACTGGTTGAACTGCTGGTGAGATGACTGGATAAGGGAGTAGGTCGCTGGACAAGAATGAGGAAGGAAATGAATAACCAACAGGTAAGTAAGTATGATAAGTATGTAAGGCTAAGTACAGTGCCTTCGGAAAATATTCAGACACCATGACTTTTTCCACATTTTGTTACGTTACAGCCTTATTTTAAAATTGATTAAATTGATTTTTTTCCTCATCAATCTACACACAATGCCCCATAATGACAAAGAAAAACAGTTTAAAAAAAAGAAATTGCACATTTAATACAAATAAAAAACGGAAATACCTTATTTACATAGGTATTCAGACCCTTTGCTATGAGATTAGAAATTGAGCTCAGGTGCATCCTGTTTCCATTGATCATCCTTGAGATGTTTCTACAACTTGATTGGTGTCCACATGTGGTAAATTCAATTGAATGGACATTATTTGGAAAGGCACACACTTGTCTATATAAGGTCCCACAGTTGACAGTGCATGTCAGAGCAAAAACCAAGCCATGAGGTCAAAGGAGTTGTCCGTAGAGCTCCGAGACAGGTTTGTGTCGAGACACAGATCTGGGGAAGGGTACCAAAAAATGTCTGCAGCATTGAAGGTCCCCAAAAACACAGTGGCCTCCATCAGTCTTAAATGAAAGAAGTTTGGAACCACCAAGACTCCTCCTAGAGCTGGCCGCCCGGCCAAACTGAGCAATCGGGGGAGATGGGCCTTGGTCAGGGAGGTGACCAAGAACCTGATTGTCACTCTGAGAGAGCTCCAGAGTTCCTCTGTGGAGAATGGAGAACCTTCCAGAAGGACAACCATCTCTGCAGCACTCCATCAATCAGGCCTTTATGGTAGAGTGGCCAGACGGAAGCCATTCCTCAGTAAAAGGCACATGACAGCCCGCTTGGAGTTTGCCAAAAGGCACCTAAAGACTCTCAGACCATGAGAAACAAGATTCTCTGGTCTGATGAAACCAAGATTGAAGTCTTTGGCCTGCATGCCAAGCATCATGTCTGGAGGAAACCTGGCACCTTCCCTACGGTGAAGCATGTTGGTGGCAGCATCTTGCTGTGGGGATGTTTTTCAGGGGCAGGGACTGGCAGACTAGTCAGGCTCAATGGAAAGATGAATGGAGCAAAGTACAGAGAGATCCTTGATGAACACCTGCTCCAGAGTGTTCAGGACCTCAGACTGGGGTGAAGGTTCACCTTCCAACAGGACAACGACCCTAAGCACACAGCCATGGCCAAGACAACGCAGGAGTGGCTTCGGGACAAGTTTCTGAATGTCCTTGAGTGGCCCAGCCAGAGCCTGGACATGAACCCGAACGAACATCTCTGGAGAGACCTGAAAATAGCTGTGCAGCAACGCTCCCCATCCAACCTGACAGAGCTTGAGAGTATCTGCAAAGAAGAATGGGAGAAACTCCCCAAATATAGGTGTGCCAAGCTTGTAGCGTCATACCCAAGAAGACTCAAGGCTGTAATCGCTGCCAAAGGTGCTTCAACAAAGTACTGAATAAAGGGTCTGAATACTTATGTAAATATGATATTTCAGTTTTTTATGTTTAATACATTTGCAAAAAATGCTAAAAACCTGTTTTTGCTTTGACCTTATGGGGTATTGTGTGTAGATTGATGAGGGAAAAAAAACAATTTAATCAATTTTAGAATAAGGCTGTAACGTAACAAAATATGGAAAAAGTCAAGGGGTCTGAATACTTTCCGAATGCACTGTATGCTGCGAATTCACTCCCCACCTGTTTCACCTCTCTCTGGGGTTTCAGTCTTGACCCCGACCCCCTTGGGACTGGAGACACATCGCAAAGCCAGGTTCTGCACCTGGCCCAGAGAAAAAGGGGGAGATGGGTGTATGAGGATTGACAGAAAGAAGAGGCCAGAGAGAGGGGCGCGAGAGAAGTACAAGCAAGAGTTTCACCAATTTAAGAGTACAATACTGTAGTTTTACTGCAAATATTCTAGATTTTGACTGGTCCCAGATCTGTTTGTGCTGTAATGACCACAGGAACTGGCAAAACAACACCAACAGATCTGGACGAAGCTATTCTAGATTACATCACTAAAGCAGGACTCACTCCAATGCTCTCAGTCACAAATACAAAGTTGATCCATACCTGGTCATTGTCTGATTGGTTCCTGGAGGAAGTAGGTGTAACTTCCTGTTGTGGCTGCTGGGTGACTGTTGCCATGGCAGTGGTTGCCGTGCTACCAGGCATAAAGATGAGCTGTGAGGAGAGGGGAGCCCTCAGAGACCGGTTCACCTATAGTACAACAAAAGAGACTGTCAACAGTCCTTTCATGGAGGCAAATGACAAAAGCAGATACAATACCGACACTCCTTAGCCAAGCCCGAACCACACCAAGCTAAGCTGTACTGTGCTGACCTGGTTATGAATCCACTGAAGTGGAATTGAAACTGTGCTGAAAATATCTGAGCCAGCAAGGTTTTGTTCGGGTCGGCCTTATAGTGTGAATCAGGCAATGGTGCATGTGTTCTCACTCTCAGATACATCTGTCCCTGTCCTGCTGCACTTCCACCCAGCAGCACTGATTGGCTTATGGTGGATGTCGCGGAAGAGCCTGGGCCTATAGTGCGGGTGCTGGTTATGGCCCCTCCCCCAGAAGTGGTTACATTCACCTGAAGAGGAAATAAATAAAGTGTATTTGAAAACAACCAAAGCAAACTGTATTGACTATTTCGGAGAAAATGAAACAATGCAAGTGCCAGTAACTCAAATATATAAAATGTCACAGGTGTTCAAACTGAAAATTATCAAATATCACTGGAGTTCCCTATTTGAAGCTGTATTTGTGTCAATGATTGTAGGCTGTGCTAGTTCTGAAAGAGGCATGTATGTGTCAACGTACAGATGTGACTGTTGTGCTGGTGGTCTGAGAGGTGCTGTTGGTGGGAGGGCTGGACTGGCGACTGGCAGCAAGGGTGGCCTAAAACAGGGACAACAAGGAATAATGCCAAAAGCCATTGCCATAGTTTAGAGCTGAAAAAAACAGACTATTTACCAAACCTCATGATGATGTTTCAACATATTGTACTGCCACCCTATAGCCTAAACATTCTGCCTTTTAAAATAGCAAACCAATCATAACCTGACAATGTCAAAACAGCACCCATGTCCCCTATTCTGAGCATGCATTATTGGTAAGGGCGGTTCATAAAGATGGTTCTTTACCTGTTGTACTGCAGCCAGGTTTTGTAGCTGGGCACTGTTGATCTGTTGCTGCAGCATCAGCTGCTGGAAGTACTGCGCTGCATTGGGCTGCCTCTGCAGCGCCTGAAGGGCCTTCATTTACACAAGATAGAAAACAGGGAGAGGGAGTAATGAAATTGCACTGTCAATAGCCTGCAGGTTGATATACGAGCGCTTACATAGTGAAAATGAGATAACTATGCTACAGACAAGGATTACAGATGATCCTGTGTGACACTGAGTACAATATCTCAGAAAAAGGCATAGGCTATGCATAATATCCCCATTCATATGCAAGCACACCCACACGTACTGACCTGCACAGCCTGTCTCTCGTACAGGGACATGGAGTTCATTTGAGAGGGGCGGGAGTTCACCCCTGATGGAGTGGTTCCATTGGTAGAGCCCTGGTTTTGGTCCCCATCTGTCTCCATCACTGAGGAAAACAAGATAAGCTTTCAATCAAATGCTGCCTAGAAAGCAATGTCAAAAGACATGGCTATCAGTCACTGGTTGAAGGTAAAATATTATTCACACTGCAGCTTTGTGGAGCAGTAAGGTGTGGAATATATCTGTCATGCCTGGATAACTAACATCTGTATTTACATGTTGACAAGATATTGTATATATCAATCAAGAATGCCATTCCTTCGTTCACTCCTTCACCTGACTGCTTGCAAACATTTGATTGTCATGCAACATAAATTCAATACATCTCAGCTAGTATTACATGCATTATTAGTAGCTTGCATTGTAAAATATTATTAGCTAGCTAGCTATCCACATATTATGCAGCTCACTTGTTTCACTATAATTAAAAGCAAGTTGAATGCTGCTAGCTAGTACAGTATTTAACTAGCTAGCTACAGTAACTAGTTGCAGACAGTGCTAGCACAAAAGCTAGTTACTGTAACTAGCTAGCTACCCATGAGCACCGTCTGCTGCAAATCCCTTGCTCACCGTGGACGTTGGCGTATTGCCACCTATGTTTCTCTCTCGACTTCAATGCGTAGCAGTATGCAACAATTCCTTTTGCACGACGATATTACAGTACATTCAATTAGGTTGTTGATAGTTTGCATAAATTTGGGTGGAGGACAACGCCTCCTTCTGATGTTTGTTCTTTTCCGGCGCAATGGAATGACGTAGGTCACGTGCCAAAATGTGTAACAACAACATAGTTACAACGTAATATCGACCTGCAATAGCAACACGGTTAATATGTCATTAATTGCGACAATGTATGTAATGCCTCCTGTTACACTGTAGCTGCATCATGAAATAATAACTCGAGCAGCCTTGTGCATCCGCTACAATGAGCTTGATTACCCCAATTTTGTGACCATACACATTTTCCAGAAATCATTGTTTGATGTATGTAAAATGAACGAAACCGTTTTAACTTCCTATTAACTAAGATGCGTTTATAAGTAAAACTACCGTTACATTTGTATTTTAAAACGAGGTAAAAATAAAAATAAAAATACTTACTTTGGCCACTTTCTTTCATTCGAAGCTTCAAGCTATAAACCTGTCACTCAAAATGGTCTCTGTCAGCATCACCTAGTCCGAATCATGTTTAAATACTATGTCCATATGAAGTACACAAACACAACCAGGAATTGCTGTGTGTAATGCCACCTGGTGGATGTCATAAAATAGGTTAACAACACATTTATTACACCTTCACACCCAGAATTGATTGATTGATTAAACCAAGCAAGATGCTGACTTTGTATTTGCCAAGGATAGTATCTGAAGGTATCAAAGGTTTTGTGTTTGTTAGATGTGGGATATTTTATTTAACATTATATTCATACATACAAACATAAGTGAAACGAATACATGTAGCAAATGAGGGTGCATGATTGTTGTTAGTTTGTTGTAATGTTTAATTGTCTCAAAAGCAATTTCATAGCCAGATTTATACTGTTTGTGTGATACATTTTCCCAATACAGGAAAATTATCAATTGGATTCAAAAGTGTGCTTTTCTGCACTTCGCATAATCTTGATATATATGAATTAGACCATATTTTTTATTCAATATCAAAATTGATTAGTTCATACATTTTAATTTCAATTGTTTATGGCAGACTATAGATCTTGCTTAAATGCCCTTTGTTTGGTGCCTCGTGGAGAATAAGAGTACAAGATTTTGGAAGCAGGAAGAACATGTTCACACACACATACAGTACACATTAGCTGAAAGGTGCTGAAGAGGCACAAATAAGCAGCAGAAACATGGAACTCACAAACACAATCACTCAAAGCAAACGGAAGGCCATGAAACACAGGCCAGGAAAAAAATAGACATAAAAGCAATACCAACAGTAAATGGGTAAAAACCCATTTCAAAACAACATGGTTTTCTGACGTAAAATGGAACAGATCTCTGTGATAATATAGGATACAATGATCAACAAAAAAGAAAAACACTTTTTTTAGACCCACACTGAGGACAACATAAGGCGCACACTAAACAAGTGGAAGGCATGTGGAAAGTGGAAGAGGGGGAGAGTGAGGTTAGTAGTGTTGTGGAGTAGTGGTATAGGAACTGGGTTTTAATTTCCAGTGTACATTTTGACATAAATAATACTTTAACCACAAAGTTAATAGAGCAATGTGTCTCAACACTTCAGTGTACTACTAGGAAACAATCTAAATAGTTGTTCTCTCTCTTTCCTTCTCTTTTTCACTCATTGGACGATGGGCCAGAACAAGTACACATTCAACCACTGCAATACATATTTACAAATAAATACTCTCCTAACTGTGTACAGTAAGTGAATGTGCATAAGGTAGCTGGGTATGGTTCAGTTAGTACAGTACTGCGGTCTTGTTAACAGTAGTGATGGAGTGCTGCCATCGAATAATGTTTTTTCCTTGGAGGAGAGGTCAAATACTGAATACTACCATCAAAGGAATGTATTTTCCCAGTGCAACACATACATATACCCACTATATATTATATTAATACAGAACAAAGCCATGACCCTGTCCTCTTTCTAAGCAAAGTAAATAGTGAAAGTGCTTGGGGCTTACTACATATAATTTACACAACCACAAATAAATATATAAAATGTTGTAACACATTTATCTACTATATCTATACAATAAAATCTTTGAATAAATTAATATTTTTTAACAATGTTCCACATGGTAATCTTCAGACAAAGGTTCACAAAGTAGAGCATAGACTCAAAATGGAGTCATTCAAAAGCATTTTGCACAAATCCTCACATTTGGTCACAACTAAACTCCCATTGTGGTATTCCAAATACACATTGAATAGACAACCGTCACAATTGTATTAATTTTTTTTAAACTGAATGCTCTCACAGCAGAACAATTCAAAATTGCACTCAATACCAGAGAAAACCGCTGGAGTCCTTTGCTCTCTGTGGTTGATTCTAATCGAATCCAAGTTCATAACATCACGACTCATGTCATAATCTATTATAAGATAATATCCAAAATAACTACCTTCATTAACGTTACCCATCCTTTAAATAAAGTTTTCCCCTTTTTAATTTGAAACCTCTATTGCAGTCCCCTTAGTCAATATAGTTAATGCAATTCTACACTATCCTAAAGTATTTTTCTAATAGGCTAGCTGTAAATGCACTCCCTTAGGTAAATATTTATCTAATTATTCCTTATGTTGATTAATTTGCTTAACGCACTTTTTTAAGAGTATATTAGCTATTGTGGATTTTTAATTGATTAATATTTGGTTAATAATGTGCAGCTAAAGCAAGTTAAAGTGAAATATGTACTATACATCTCTCTCTCTCTCTCATTGAAAACAACAACCATCTTACTTCATTATGCAACCATCCAAATGTGATTCTTTATCAGTGGATTCTTACATTGAGTAGGGTAAAAGCATATCATTTTGTTTTTAAAAGCATATCATTAAACTTTCAAGTATGATCATTCTGGGATTATTGGGTTATTTAAAAAAGCTATTTCTAAACCAAGAAAGCCAACCAATGCAATTGACCCTAATCTACAGTTTCACATTTAAAACTACTGTCAACCAGAAACACTATTGAGGTTGTTTGTTTTGATTTGGCCCACTTTAGCCTTACTAAAAGCTCTTCAAATGATGATGCACTCAGTAAAAGAAGGCAACAAAATTAAAACACTCATTTTGATCTCTAAGTTGAGAACACTTCCAAAAGATGTTACACATGAAAGAAAGAAATCCTAGCTACCGTATTCCACCCAAATATGTGTGCATGGTGGCTTTCCATGTACACGAAAAATGACGTAAATGTAAATGTAAAAGTATATTTCCCTTCACCTCAATCACTCGTCCCCATGTACCTGAACTCCCAAAGAATTTTCCCTGTTTTTGAACCTGCTGACCCCCAACCTCTGACATTTAACCCTTGACCCGACATCTACAAGCTCGCCTGTGCAGTTGAGATGGATTTATCCTCTGCTGCTGCCGCCTCCATCAATGGGACCTTCTCCTTGATGGGCGAGGCAGGAAGTGTTACGCTGCTACTAGTGGGAGGAGCTTCCACAGAGATGGCAGGGGGCGGGGGGGCTCCGCCAAACTCGCGGGCGATCTCGTCAAAGGTCTTGCCCTTGGTCTCTGGGACTTTGATGAAGGTGAAGATGAAGAAGAAGAGGAGTAAGATCATGAAGATGATAAAGACGTACGGCCCACACAGCTCCTACAGAAAGACAAACAAAGACAGAGAAAAATAGTGGAAGTAGTAATTATTCAAATGAGTCAATGTATTACTATGTGAAATTTTGACTTAGGTGGAAGTTAGGATTCGCCCCTAATTGGAAACCAAGAGAAACCTCTCGCACCTCCAGTTTGGGGAAGCTGACTCCCACCAGGAAGTTGGCGGTCCAGTTGCAGCAGCCGGCCACGGCTATGGCGGCCGGCCGTGGACCCTGGGAGAAGAGCTCCGCCACTATGAACCATGGGATAGGACCAGGCCCCATCTCAAACATGGCCACGAACAGAAACACTGCCCCGATGCTCAGGTAGCTGAGAGACGAGTAGCCCTTCTACTCAGAGAGAGAGAAAGAGAGAGAGAGAGAGACAGAGAGGGAGGGAGGGAAGGAAAAATGGAAGGAAGGAAATAGGGAGGGAGGAAGGGAGGGCGGGAGATGGAGATTATCATCAATAATAGCAATGAAAATGAATTACAGTAATTAATGACATATCTGTTATGTTGAATGACAACCAATAGAAACTGACACCCACCAACAGGAGGGCAATAGTCATGAGCAGGGCACTGACGGCCATTCCGGCCAATCCGACGAGATGCAAAGTCCTTCGTCCCACCCTCTCAACCAGGAAGAGCTGACAAAGACAGAGAAATAAGTTCCCTTACAGTAAACATACATTACATAAACACAAAAACACTAACAAATGCAGCATATTATACTTACAGATACCACAGTAAAGACAGTGTTAACAGCTCCTGCTCCAATAGTGGCGTAAATGGGTTGGGTTACACCGGCTGATTCAAAGATACCAGTTGAATAGTAGAACACCTGAACAGGGTTGGGGGAGGGAGACAATAGGATTATGTTCTTGATCTAAAGCAAGGCCATGATCTATGAATAGGAAGCCACGTCTTATCAAAGTGGTCTTTTTAACACACTCTAACAATATGGAGTTGCCGTACATCCATTAAATCATGTTTAATCCATCAAATAATCCAAACAAATCTCCCAAACATGCAAGCATTGAGAGTATACTGTAAGGCAGGTTGAATGCAGCTGCCATTCAACTATGCATAGGCAGCTGCAGTTTCTCTCTGTATGAAGCCCGGGTCATCTTCATAAGGGCACACCGTAGTACATTGTTTCTTATTGGATAAATTCAGATAGTACCTCCCCGTCTCTGCCTTTTTTCTTCGTTTCATGCCTAGAGAATACGACCCTGTATTGTTAGCCTGTCCTCTCAGATATCCTTGGTGACCTTTCAACTAAATAGATGTGTTTGTACTGTGGCCTCCTGGGAGTCATAGTTCACTCACAGCATTGATTCCAGAGAGCTGCTGGGAGAGGTGGAGCATGACGGCGATGAGGAGCGGCTGCCGATAGGCTGCGGTGCGGAACAGCTCGGGGATGGTCACTTTCTTCTCCATGGCCATCTTGGAACTCTCCTCCTTCATCTCCTGCATGTCTTTGCTCACGTCCTCGAAGCCACGCAGACGCACCAGGGCTAGGGGGAGAAAATGGCAGAGTGAGAGGGACAGATAGGTGACACTATAATGGAGAGTGAAGGACATACAATTTGTAAAAGGAGAGAATGTATTTGTAAAATCGCTAGGTAAGTAGAAAGTCAACCAATGACAATATTGAAATACGTTAGGTGCATAAAGCATTTTTATGCAGTAAAAACTGTGATTTTCCCGTGTTTTTATGTATTTCCACACTATAAGGTTTGGAATAATACTGTGAAATTGTAAAAATGATGATAATTCCCTTTTAGTGTAAGAGCTGAAAAAAGAACAACTGGAATTTAACGCTGTTTTGGTGGGATGGAGTTTTGGCCTGCATGGTGAAATTAGTTAATATACCAATAAGAAAGAGAGTTCCAAACCTCTATGCCAATAAAAGCTAGTTTTAAGTTTCCCCTCCCCTCTCAGACCACTCCCAGGCAGTCCTAGCAAAATTATTGCTGAGATATTGCTCTTTGCTAAGAAGCTATTTTTGTTTATTTTTGACCATTTTAATTGAAAACAATCAGTGTAAGGTACTTAATTGTTAACCAGAAATGATTTGATATTGAGGTAAAAATGGCTGCATTGGACCTTTAAAACATTAGTTGAGTACATTTTCAAGCAGACTAGCTATAGTACCACCAACATTAAAACCTGCCTGCGTTGTCGTTGTTTGTTCAGTTATCCATCACATAAAAGACTGACCAAAACAAATGTTCCTTTTTTTATTATCTTATTCACCAAAGCAGTGTGTTTGAAACAAAACAGTGTGAAGGAGACTAGGACATGCACTCAGGTGACCCCCACCACAGTGTGAACTACTGTAGGGACCGATGCCAAAACCTGCTGTTGGCCTATGCTGTGCATCAGGGACTCTTCTCTTGGCTCAACAAGCGTCCGTCTCGCCTGGCCTGTCACTGTATGCATTAAACTCATGCTCAGTCAGAGGAAGGGCAATAACGCCACAGGGCTATGTTTGGCATGCACAATTCACACCATTCAATGGTATTTAATGTACATTGAGGGCTCTAACTCAATTCATTATTAGGTACACCCATCTAGTACCGGGTCGGACCCGCCTTTGCCTCCAGAACAGCCTCAATTCTTCAGGGCATGGAAACGTTGCTCAATTGGTATCAAGGAACCTAACGTGTGCCAGGAAAACATTCCCCACACCATTACACCACCGCCACCAGCCTGTACCGTTGACACCAGGCAGGATGGGGCCATGGGCTCATGCTGCTTACTCCGCAACAGGAACAAGGATTCATCGGACAAGGCAATGTTTATCTACTCCTCAATCGTCCAGTGTTGATGCGTGCCCACTGGAGCCTCTTGTTCTTGTTTTTAGCTGATAGGAGTGGAAGCCGGTGTGGTCGTCTTCTGCAATAGCACATCCGTGACAAGGAACGACAAGTTGTGCGTTCCGAGATACCGTTCTGCACACCACTGTTGTACTGTGCCATTATTTGCCTGTTTGTGACCCGCATGTTAGCTTGCACGATTCTTGCCAATCTCCTTTGACCTCTCATCAACGAGCTGTTTTTGCCCACAGGACTGCCGCCGACTGGATGTTTTGTTTGTCGCACCATTCTCGGTAAACCCTAGACACTGTTGTGCATGAAAAGCACAGGAGGCCGGACGTTTCTGAAATATTGGAACCGGTTCGCCTGTCAACGACGATCATACCACGCTCAAAGTCGCTTAGGTCACTCGTTTTGCCCATTCTAATGTTCAATTGAACATTAACTGAATGCCTTGATGCCTGTCTGCCTGCTTTATATAGCAAGCCAATAGCCACGTGACTTACAGTCTGTAGGAGCAAACCATTTTTGTGAATGGGGTCGTGTACGTGTACCTAATAAAGTGTTTTATTGTCACATACACCAGTGTGTTGGTACTCGTCTAAGTACCACTCACCAAATTACAAAATGTGACTACATAATTCATCCGCAAATAGATACAATACCAGGTACATACAAGCTAAAATAGGAGTGTAAAATGAAGCGTTTCCATTCATCTTCCTTACGAATCAGAGTTCCTGACGAACAAAAGTAAATGACTGCATTTGGAGCATAGAAATATAATTACTAGAATGTGCAAAGCCCCTCAAACCCCAACAATTTGATGGTTTCTATGGTTTGGAGCATCCACCTTTGCGGGCCTGCTCCTCCTTGTTCTGGTTGATGAGGAGGAAGCGGGGGCTCTCAGGACAGAAGGGCAGCAGGATACACTGCAGCACGGCCGGGATGACCGTCAGAGCCAGCAGCAGAGGCCAGAGCTTGTCCGACCCCAACAGAGACTCCAAGCCAAAGATCTACAACACAGAGAGGTTTAGGTAGGATTAACTTTACTACCAGTAATGTTTCATTCAAAGCTTACATGCAAACCTTAATGGGATATGCTGTACAGTGATGGGATGGAAAGCACTGATGGGATGGATATACACTATGGTAGATAGTATTAAACAATACACCAATCCATTGATGGCATGGAAAGGAAGTGGCAGTTCTATAAAAGGATTCAAATAAGTTTCATGACAGTGCGTGGGAGAAAATGAAGGGGAGGAATATTACTAATTGTATTCCTAGAGCAAGATGTAGTCGCTCATTAAAAACTAATTTAATACTCATTAAATAATTTGAATAATTAGAAAATAATTAGAAAAATATATTACTCCAATGTTAAGAGACAAGGAAATCAGAATGTCTGCCGGTTACGACTTAATCATATAAGCAGTGGTGTAGTGGAGGGTAAATGCAAGTAAATGCCGTTTAGACACCTATTTATTTTACACGAGCATTTACCCACCTTTTGCGGGAAAATGCATTGAAAGTATAGGGAGCGTAACTTTATTCTCCGCGAATGGCGATCACGGTTGGTTACCCACCATTCTTAATTTTTTTTACTACATCACTACATATAAGAATAATCCCGCACATAAAACATTATATTCTTATATGGGGACTTTATTCCCAGTATCGTAAGCAGAGACATGGTATGGTAATGTACATGTTAAGACTATTCTTATGTTAAAGCACAGAAATCAAGATGACTGCCGTCGAGGACTGACCTGAGCCACCAGGATGCCAATCACCACGCCCAGCTGGTGCAAGGTGCCAAAGGCGCCCCGGAGAGGGGTGGGGGACAGCTCCCCCACATACATGGGCGTAAGGCCGGTGAAGAGGCCACAGAAGAGGCCAATGACGAGGCGTCCGGCGATGACCATCTCATAGGAGGAGCAAAGGGTGGAGAAACCCATGAGGAGGCCTCCGATCACAGCCAGGATGTTGACCAAGAACATGGACAATTTCCTTTATCCCAATACCCCGAGACACACACACACACACACACACACACACACACACACACACACACACACACACACACACACACAGAGATTGGAGGCTTAATAGACAGTGTTGCACAGAGTGAGAGAGGTTAAGAGGGAGGGAGAGTGAGAGTAGAGGGAGGTGGAAACAGAGCAATAGTTCTAACCACTCTCCACTGACTCCTTGGAGCCTCATTGGTTCTGACAGCTTAGCAGAGGCAGAGGCAGACCAAGGAAAGGTAGAGAACCGGAACTGAAGTGTGACCAAATTCACCCATAAGGTAAATAAACCTTAGTCACAGCTGATTTTTCTGCCATAGACAATACGTGTGGGTAGCTAATAAATGTTTTTTTTATTTTTTTTAAATCAGAGCAGATGACTGACATTGCGCTAGAAATGTTATTCTAAGTATCCTGACACAAATAATATTGTTACAGTGCGTGAAGGTGCAGTGGTTTTTAATTTACATGTCAAACCCTTTGGTTTTTGCATTGATAGCTTCACTTCCTACCCTGTTCGAAAATTTTAACATTAGAAAACGATCGATAGTCAGTGAAAAATGGCATTGGGGTGAACTAGGTGAACACTGGGTCACCACTCACCTCCCAAATCTGTCTGCCATCACTCCGACGCTGAAGGACCCCACCATGCCGCCCACACTAAAGATGGCCACCGACAAGCTCCACACAATGGTGCACGTTCCTGGTTTGATGGGCTCGGCATACCTCTCCATCCACGTGTTGTTGAAGAAGGCCCGCAGTTTCTGAACAGAAAGAGAGAGAGAGAGATAAAGAGGATAAATAAAAGGAGAGGGAGGGAGAGAGAGAAAGATCAGAGATAAAGCATTACCAAGATACATACAATCTCTTGATTTAACGCTTGATGAAGCGCTGTGCAATTCAAATCAGCATACAATATCCACAAGCATAATGGAAAGTGATTAAACAATGTACAGTTTAACAAAACCAAATCCCACACATGCTTTCACTATTATAAGAAAACACAACATAAGCCAACAAACCTGTTCAGGTGCATTAATGACCCCTGTGTTGTAGCCAAACTGCAGCGAGCCAATGACTGCAGTGCCCAGGGAGAACAGGAGGTATCCTGTCACCTGCTTTTTCTGTTAGAGACAGAATGGGGAGAGTGTGTGTTATTAGGGGTTTATGTAGGGGCGCAACATGTCCCCCCACATTCCTAAAGCACCCCCCCCCTCCCCCTCCATTTTATCATTGGAATGTGATACAAAACGAGGCAATGGTGTGCTTTAGGACCATGCGGATGCCTCCGAGCTGTCAGGTAGGCTGTTTGGAGTGTATATCCGACAAAAAATAAAGAAAAGAAAATAAACAAGTTTTGTCCCCCCCACTTCTAAAATCAAAGTTGCGCCCCTGGGTTTATGCACAGTACATTCTGATCAAGCAGCCCCTAAAGTGTAAAATTAAAACACTGTCAGAGCAGAGGAATTAATACTGTTGTACATGCACTGTCTGTAAAGTACATCATACAGAATTACAGGTTAAGCTATAATAATGTCTCTGGTCGGGTGTCAAACCCAAGTCATCTGCAGCCTACGTGACTTAATACAGCATTAATACTGAGGTAAAGCCTAAACTTCCTGAAGTCTCAGAAGAGGTTACGCATCATGTGAGCGTAGTTTACTGAACCACCTTTACTCTACTCTCAACCTATTTATTTATTTATTTTACATTTTGCAGGATGAAATCTCTTGAGATGCACCATCTTGTTTTCAAGTGTCCCAAAAAAAAAAAAAAAAAAAAAAAAAAGAAACAAACATTACTTAGTTGAAAGAATAATATGGCAACTACTGTCTAATAACAATAGCAATGAAATAATAATAATAATAATAATACAAAACTAAAACTTACATTAACAGCATAAAACACGTGTTGTACAACTACTAATAGGCTTATAACTAATAAAAACTACTGTTACAACTAATACAATTAAGTACCTATAATTTATACTGCACATACACACATATTTACAAATATCTTCACATGGTGATGTCTCTAAGTTAAAAACCCAAACAGTTTGGTCTTAACATTTGAAAAAGGGCTTTCTTAAATTTACTGTGTGATTTTAATTCCCTGATTTCTATAGGTAAATTATTCCAGCCAGTTAGTTTGGCCTTTGTATCTGAAAGACCTTACTCCAACCTCATGATGTACCCTTGGAATTTGTAATTGCTGCTGTTGTCAAAAAGAGTAGCGTGAGTAGAGGGACATTTAAGTTGATACATTTAAAAATAAATTGGTACCAATGCAGTTGTCTTCTGTTTGGGAGTGACAGCCAATTTAGTGATTCATACATTGTGCAATGATGTGTCTTATAATGGCATCCAAGAATGAATCTGCAAAGATTGTTATAAATGACATCTAATTCGCAAAGTAAGGTCTTGGTTGATATGAACCATTGACTAGCAATGGTTCCTTGAGGAAATCCAGAGGATCCTTGAGGATCTCCAGGGTTCCTTGAGTCACCACTCATTCTAAGAGTGCCATACAAACGCTTCACACCACGTGGCTGTTGCCACTCTAATCTGGTGGTCCCTGCGCGCACGACCCACGTGGAGTTCCAGGTCTCCGGCAGCCTCTGGAACTGCCGTTCTGCGGCCAACAAGGCAGAGTTCATTTCAGCCTATGCTACCCTCCAGTCCCTCAACTTCTTGGCGCTGACGGAAACATGGATTACCACAGAAAACACTGCTACTCCTACTGGTCTTTCCTCGTCTGACCATGTGTTCTCGCATACCCCGAGAGCATCTGGTCAACGCCGGTGGCACAGGAATCCTCATCTCTCCCAAGTAGACATTCTCTCTTTTTCCCCTGACCCATCTGTCTATCTCCTCATTTGAATTCCATGCTGTCACAGTCACTAGCCCATTCAAGCTTAACATCCTTGTCATTTATCGCCCTCCAGGTTCCCTTGGAGAGTTCATCAATGAGCTTGACGCCTTGATAAGTTCCTTTCCTGAGGATGGCTCACCCCTCACAGTTCTGGGTGACTTTAACCTCCCTACGTCTGCCTTTGACTCATTTCTCTCTGCCTCCTTCTTTCCACTTCTTTCCTCTTTTGACCTCACACTCTCACCGTCCCCCCCTACTCACAAGGCAGGCAATACGCTTGACCTCATCTTTACTAGATGCTGTTCTTCTACTAATCTCACTGCAACTCCCCTCCAAGTCTCCGACCACTACTTTGTATCCTTTTCTCTCTCGCTCTCCTCCAACACTACTCACTCTGCCCCTACTCAGATGGTAATGTGCCGTCGCAACCTTCGCTCTTTCTCTCCCGCTACTTTCTCCTCTTCCATCCTATCATCTTTTCCCTCTGCTAAATCCTTCTCCCTCCGATCTCGTGATTCTGCCTCCTCAACCCTCCTCTCCTCTCTTTCTGCATCTTTTGACTCTCTATGTCCCCTATCCTCCCGGCCGGCTCGGTCCTCCCCTCCTGCTCCGTGGCTTGACGACTCATTGCGAGCTCACAGAAGAGGGCTCCGGGCAGCCGAGCGGAAATGGAGGAAAACTAGACTCCCTGCGGACCTGTCATCTTTTCACTCCCTCCTCTCTACATTCTCTTCCTCTGTTTCCGCTGCTAAAGCCACTTTCTACCACTCTAAATTTCAAGCCTCTGCCTCTAACCCTAGGAAGCTCTTTGCCACCTTCTCCTCCCTGCTGAATCCTCCTCCTCCTCCCCCTCCCTCCTCCCTCTCTGTGGATGACTTCGTTAACCATTTTGAAAAGAAGGTTGACGACATCCGATCCTCATTTATTAAGTCAAATGACACCGCTGGTCCTGCTCACACTGCCCTACCCTATGCTTTGACTTCTTTCTCCCCTCTCTCTCCAGATGAAATCTTGCGACTTGTGATGGCCGGCCGACCAACAACCTGCCCGCTTGACCGTATCCCCTCCTCTCTTCTCCAGACCATTTCCGGAGACCTTCTCCCTTACCTCACCTCGCTCATCAACTCATCCTTGACCGCTGGCCATGTCCCTTCCGTCTTCAAGAGAGCGAGAGTTGCACCCCTCCTCAAAAAACCTACACTCGATCCCTCTGATGTCAACAACTACAGACCAGTATCCCTTCTTTCTTTTCTCTCCAAAACTCTTGAGCGTGCCGTCTCTAGCCAACTCTCCTGCTATCTCTCTCAGAATGACCTTCTTGATCCAAACCAGTCAGGTTTCAAGACTGGTCATTCAACTGAGACTGCTCTTCTCTGTGTCATGGAGGCTCTCCGCACTGCTAAAGCTAACTCTCTCTCCTCTGCTCTTATCCTTCTAGACCTATCCGCTGCCTTTGATACTGTGATCAGATCCTCCTCTCCACCCTCTCCGAGTTGGGCATCTCCGGCGCTGCTCACTCTTGGATTGCGTCCTACCTGACAGGTCGCTCCTACCAGGTGGTGTGGCGAGAATCTGTCTCCGCACCACGTGCTCTCACCACTGGTGTCCCCCAGGGCTCAGTTCTAGGCCCTTTCCTATTCTCTCTATACACCAAGTCACTTGGCTCTGTCATATCTTCACATGGTCTCTCCTATCATTGCTATGCAGACGACACACAATTAGTTTTCTCCTTTCCCCCTTCTGATAACCAGGTGGCGAATCGCATCTCTGCATGTCTGGCAGACATATCAGTGTGGATGTTGGATCACCACCTCAAGCTGAACCTCGGCAAGACGGAGCTGCTCTTCCTCCCGGGGAAGGACTGCCCACTCCATGATCTCGCCATCACGGTTGACAACTCCATTGTGTCCTCCTCCCAGAGTGCAAAGAACCTTGGCGTGACCCTGGACAACACACTGTCGTTCTCCGCTAACATCAAAGCGGTGACCCGATCCTGCAGGTTCATGCTCTACAACATTCGCAGAGTACGACCCTACCTTAAACAGGAAGCGGCACAGGTCCTAATCCAGGCACTTGTCATCTCCAGTCTGGATTACTGCAACTCGCTGTTGGCTGGGCTCCCTGCCTGTGCCATTAAACCCCTACAACTCATCCAGAACGCTGCAGCCCGTCTGGTGTTCAACCTTCCCAAGTTCTCTCATGTCATCCCGCTCCTCCGCACACTCCACTGGCTTCCAGTTGAGGCTCGCATCTACTACAAGACCATGGTGCTTGCCTACGGAGCTGTGAGGGGAACGACACCCAAACGAGGGCACTACGTTCATCCACCTCTGGCCTGCTAGCTCCCCTACCTCTACGGAAGCACAGTTCCCGCTCAGCCCAGTCAAAGCTATTCGCTGCTCTGGCACCCCAATGGTGGAACAAGCTCCCCCACGACGCCAGGATAGTGGAGTCACTGACCACCTTCCAGAGACACTTGAAACCCTACCTCTTTAAGGAATACCTGGAATAGTATAAAGTAATCCTTCTTCCTCCACCCCCCATAATTTTCTTTTTTTTAAAGGTGGTTGTCCCACTGGCTATCATAAGTTGAATGCACCAATTTGTAAGTCGCTCTGGATAAGAGAGTCTGCTAAATTATGTAAATCTAAATGTAAATGTTGTGTTTGATAGATGATGTCACCATTGTCTAGGATAGGAAGCAGCAATTGGGTTACTAAGGTCTTTCTAATGGATACAGTAAAACAATTCTTAGATCTGTATAGTAACCCAATGTCACACCCTGGCTCTGGGGACTCTATGTGTTGAGCCAGGGTGTGTAGATTCTATGTGGTTTGTTCTATGTTCACAGTCTAGTATTTGTATTTCTATGTTGGCCAGAGTGGTTCCCAAT